GAGAGAGAGAGAGAGAGAGAGAGAGAGAGAGAGAGAGAGAGAGAGAGAGAGAGAGACAGAAGCAGTCGAAGAACATGAAGTACAAGAAAAAGGCAAGTGCTTTCCGCACTATTCCACCAAACGTTGAAAAATTCCAATGACGGGATTATCCGTCTCCGAACACCACAGCACTAGACGACATTCACAGCCACAACACGAAATTGTACTCATGGCGAGTGACCCTCCCCAAGGGGTCACCGCTAACCGGGAACAACCAATGACGACCCGCCGTGTCCACGACAGCCGGCCTATCAATACGACTAATTGGGGAAGCCTGCTACTGACTCGTAGCCGACATCCCGAGAGGACACAAATGCACATGCAGCATAACACACGGCCTAGCAACTCTACCGCTCACGAATAGCCTTCGCTATTTCCAACAACGCGTGGCACATGAGTTTGTTGACTTCGTCCGACGCAGCATTGTGCTTCCTCTGCACTTCCACTTCAGCTTCCAACGCCTCGCACTGCCGGACCTGGATGGAGCATTGCCGCTTGCTTGCACTCTCCATCGTCGACGCCATTAGCGCCCTGTGCTTCTCCAAGCATTCCGTCAGCGCGTCGAAAGTCTGCTGCCTCGTGCTCTTCCTCTTCCCAAAACCAGCGAGGGTACCCGTCGTCTGGGAAGAACCTCGCGTCGACCCCTCGTCGTCGTCTTCTCGCCCCACCTCCGTCCCCATCCGCCACCGATTCAGGATCCGCGTTCGACGTCGATGGCAGACGAACACCGGCAGAAGCACCAGTGCCTGCCACGTTCTTCGGGTGGATGGTATGGTTTATCCCGGTCGACCCCTCTATCTCGTCGTAAACAGCACGATCCATAGTGAAATTGAAGCCCCTGCTCGCCCTCTCCTTGGCCGACAACTGGAAGAAGTCAGCCCCCCCGGACGACGATTGAAAATGATGGACTTTCTTGAACTGCTGCATCAGATTGTCCCAGCCCCCCCGGACGACGATTGAAAATGATGGACTTTCTTGAACTGCTGCATCAGATTGTCCCACTTCTTCCCGCATTTCTCGGCATCCCTGACCACGCCCACGTTCTTCAATCTTTGAGCGACGTCTTGCCATTTTCATTCCCACGGTTTCATCTGGGCGTACGCGTGCCCCATCCCCTGCATATGCGCATCTTGGTCACGTTTATCCCTTAGTATGAGGGCTATAATGTGTTCGACGGACCAGAAGTTGCGCTTCTCCTCCACATCACCGTCGCCGTCGCCACCGCTCCCCTTTCCCTGGCCTTTCTTCGCCCGTGGACGACCAGTGCGGCCGAAAGGCTTCGACTTCCCGCCCTTACGAACCATGTCGCTCTGCAAGCACGACGACACGTAACCGCCCCCCCCTTCCCCGCCTTCTCCGTCGATGTCATCTTTGTCGTCGTCGTCTGCTTCCGCAGGTGGATCGCTTGTTTCCTTCTCCCGGTCACCCACGCGAAGACGCTCCAGCCCCCGTGTGATGGATTCCTCTTGCCACGCCCGAAGCTCCCGCCGGTGTTCCTTCCACACCTCCCTCCCATCTCAATCATCACCAACGTCAAAGAAGTCCGTCCCGACGTCGACGCTACCGCCACGGCGGCGGGCCACTTCGGATGCCGCAGACAGGGGAGACGGCGACTGCATCCAGTGGGGCCGAGCCTGGGCGGCCCTGGACAGAGAGGGTGCCCATGCTTGCTGCGTTGACGAGTTCAGGTTCGCTCCCGTCGTATCGCGCGCCAACACCCTCGTCTTCGATGATCGGTCGACAGCCGTCAATTGCCCGCCGTCATCGTCGGGGTGGGGGTGCACGAGGACTGTGCGCGATGGAGTTGAGGACCGCCCGGTGGACAGACCAAACGACAGGTTGACGCGGCCATCTCCTTCATCGCCGCTAAGGCCCGGGCGAAGGAGTTCAGTGAACGACTGCTCGTACACGCCGCCGCCCGTCCCGCATAGCTCCGTAGCTGCCCACTCCTGCGTCGATCCACTGCCGAACGACACGGTGTGTGGCCGTCTCTCCTCCTCCTCCTCGTCTGATGAGCCGGGGAGTGGTTGCAAGTGCAGTGGCAATGCCTCATACCCAACCCGCTGGGACGCCCTCCCAACGGTCGACGGGCGTCCCCCGCACCGCCTCCCGCCGACCTGCTCCCCTCTGGACCTGGCGATCGCCTGCCGTGCCTCCGTCCTGGTGTCCTTCATCAAAGACCTTCTTTTGCTTCGACGCCGCGGTACGTTCCCGAGGATACACACGTGGAACACAACCAAGAGGTGCAGCAACAGGACAACCAGGAGCAGCAGCGGCAGCCTGCGGAACACGTCAGCCATGAAACAGTAGACGACGACGGCAGCAGACGGAAGACAACGTGGACGCCAACATAACAACGGACTACAGTGCTGCAAACGGTCGTTCCAACAAACGGAAGATGTCGGCTTCGGTCACGAACGGCAGTGCATCATTGGGAGAGACAGTGCCGCCTGAAATATTCGTATCTGCCGACCGTTGGGAGAATTCCCGTGGCGTGCCAAATGCGACGACGCGAGACGGCACCTTGGACGTCGGGGATGCCGGTAGGCCGCAAACGGTAACCGTTGGCGATGAACCCCGTGAAGCCGAACGTTGGCGACCCAACATGTCCATGGAGACGCAGGCAGGACCACCGATGGACCAGACGGGATCGAAAAATGTCGTCGAGGGAGCTGTTGTCGACGCCCCGATTCTTCCGGATGCTCGACCTCCAAGGGACCTCGGGAGGTCCCTTGGGGAAATCGCCAAAATGGCTGTAGCCCCGAGGAATCCCCGAGGAAATGTTTTCACATTTCCTTTTCCGAATCTTCCCCGAGGATGAGTGGAACGACGATTTCCTTGGGGAATTTCGGGCCCCGAGGAGTGTCGAACGAGCCCCTAGGACGACTCCTTAAAATGGCAAGGGCATATCTGCCCTGAAGGAATCTGATCAGCTGAAACACAACTTCTTTTCTTTAAATTTTGTTTTCCAAATGCAGGTAAAGGGCAACATACTCAAGGACTCGTCCGTGGAACAAAAATGCAATGACAGGGAGAAATCCAATTGCAAGTTTTCGTAAGAAGCTCTAGGAAGTTCGTAGCATTTCTAGGATGATCGAGGGCCTCTGTTGGATAGACTGGAGTTGAACAAGGCGGTGTTGGGCTGTCGTTTTTCTCTTGTTGCTGCTTGTGCCTTCTATCTGATTGGAGAGAGAGTGGGTGTAGCTTCTTGAGAGTTGTCTGTTCAGATTCTTCAGAAATCTCCAATGGTATCTCCCTTCTTTCCCTCCCCCCCCCGCCTCCCCCCCGGCGCCCCCTTCAAGTTTGAGGTTAAGTAAGTTGCCGAAAGCAATAAATAATTGAGTCTTCTGTCAAATCTGACAGGATGGCGTTTTTCTGGCCTTATTTTGTTATTATGGTATTATTACAGAGAACCCCGTAGCCACGTCCAGCCGTGGTCACGATGGAGCACCCCGAGGTTGCAATAATTTCTTTCTGCTGTTGTGTGAGGGCTTCCGTCCTGTCACCTGCTTTTGTGCATATCTTACGCAGAGAATAGATAGATGCTGGCTCTCCGAAGTAGTAGGAGAGGCAATTGACTTCGGAGAGGCAATTGCAAGCCTCTCCGTCAATTGCGCACTTAGTTCCAGCTTCAGCAACTTGAAGGTTGTTTTTGGAAGGCATTCCACTATGCAGACCCCAAATTCGAATCTCAGGGTCTCAGGCCGAGAGGGGCCAAGTCGGCCAGTTTCAGAAAAGCTAAGTCGGGTGCCCCCAGAGGTCAAGTCCAACAGGCACCAGGTCAACAGTCACATCCCAGAGGCGAAAGTTGCATTCCATAAGCAAACCTCACGTCTCATATTGGAAGGTCACATCCCACAGGCAAAGGACACTTCCGCAGGCAGAAGTCGTGTCCCAGAGGCACGAGTCACAGCCCATAGTCAAAACTGATGTTTCACATACGAAAGGTCGTGACTCACAGACCCGAGCGGCAGCACACCAATCGAAATTCGCGAAAGTACCCGGCCTTGACTTTCCGAAGCAAACAGGCCGTGGGCATGTGGTACCAGTACCAAGTCACGCCAAAGGACGCAGAAGCTGGCATGGGTTCCGGCTCAGTCCAAGTCAATATAAGGACTGGCCAGCCACATTTTAGGGAGATTGCTCTTTCGTGCTACCGAAGCACTTGTGCGCTATCTCAAGTAGAGAGAGAGAGGGAGAGAGAGTGGAGGGAGAGAGTGAGCGCATGCATGAAGAAGAGAGAGAGAGAGAGAGAGAGAGAGAGAGAGAGAGAGAGAGAGAGAGAGAGAGAGAGAGAGAGAGAGAGAGAGAGAGAGAGAGAGAGAGACGAGAGGCACCTACCTTGGATGAGGATGCCGGAATTGGGTTGCTGAACTCTGCTTTGATGAGCGCTGGTGACTGGAACTCTGAAACTGCTTAAGATGATAATTTGCTGGAATTTCTAAGCTGCGCCTAATATGTGGACTTTGCATCTCTGGTCTCCAGTGTGGACTTCGTGTGATCTCTCATTGTGTGTGTGTGCTCAAGGTGACGAGCAGTGAGGCTCAATGCATTTTAAATTGAAGTGCTTCTATGATGTTGTTTAAGTTTTCAAGTAAGCATAAACCAGGGACGAACGGGACTAGACTATAATTTTATCTGACTCGGGTGAAGTTAAGTTATGATCGAGTCCATGTATGTATCTATGGATTGCTGAATCACGTCGAACTCAGCGATTTCTATCTACTGTCTGTTTTCGGGTGAGAGAGCCGACTTTCTAACCAACTCAAGATGTGAAATCATCTGTTCAATGTTAGCAACTGTTCGATGAGATAATGTCCATGGCTACACCCGCCGACGTCCCGTCCCGTCTCGTCCCTCGGTGTTGGAATTTGATTGATGCTTTTTTTTTTTTTTTTTTTTTTTTTTTGATTGATGTTTTGATTGTTGCCTTGGGCCTGGGCTGATTTATAGTAATACGAAAGTGCATCGGGAAAAAAATAAAACAGAAGAAATTGCGAAACACCGTGAAAGTTCACTCATGCCCTTAAAAGTTAAAAATACACCTAAAGATGTGGGTAGAGTGGAAAATCCTTCTGCTTTCTGTTTCCTTCGAAAAATTAGGACCGTTTCTGGATTCACGACTATCATCCTTGCACAGGGGCTGTTAGTATGTGAGATTTGAAAAGTTTGTCGAATGCCCTTTTGCTTGGATTTAAATTTTAAACCTTTGGAACGGGGTTGCCAGGTCTGCGCAACACCCTTGTCAGGGGCAGAATGCAAACTTGCGCCTCCTCCTGACAGGGGTAGATAGGAAAGATTGAAATCCAAAAGGGCATTTCACAAGCATTTGAAAATTTTCTTTCGAAATTTCAGAGGGGTATTCCCATCTCCCCACATCTTTTCGGGGCATTTTGGCGTGTACACAAGAGCTTTCAGGGGCACAAATTTTCCTAAAAAAGAAAATGCAGGAACGAAATTCAACAAATAGGGGAAAAAGAAAAATAATAGGAAAAAACTCAGGAACGTAGATTCCGTACCGGTCGTTGTGCGGAAAACGAAGACATTTTTTGTCTGGCAGAGAATTCATTTTACTCTCGTGCCGGGCGCTAAAAAAAACAAGCGAGTTTAAAGGCTAAGTGTATTTTCGTTAAGAAAAAGCGTCGAGAGACAGTGGCGCCATGAGATTGAGAACCAGAGAGCGCAAACACAAGAAAGGCTCAGATCAATGTGGTGGGAAGGGAAAAAAAGCATACACTGCACAGGGGCCAACAACTCGCACAGACGCACTCCAATCATGACGGTGGGGGGACACGCGAACACGTTGATACAGGCAAACAACGCACTGATATCAAGAAATTGAACATAGGCAGGAATTCATTGGAAAAGACGATTCTTCCTTACGAGAAGAGATCATGGTCACGCTACTATTCCACGTCGTGCTTCTTCGGCGGTCGAGATACTCCCTCTGAATTAAACTCCAACGCTGAGGGCCTTCTGTGGGCGTCGACTCACACTCTAAAGATGTGCGTCACAAAGGCACACATTGAGCTAGCGAACCACAGACACACACACTCACACACACACACAGAGAGAGAGAGAGAGAGAGAGAGAGAGAGAGAGAGAGAGAGAGAGAGAGAGAGAGAGAGAGAGAGAGAGANGAGAGAGAGAGAGAGAGAGAGAGAGAGAGAGAGAGAGAGAGAGAGAGAGAGAGAGAGAGCTAAGTAGCCTGCCTTGTTTGCTACGCGGGTCTACTTTTATCTTTATGCAACAGTTCTCGCACTCGGCTTGGGGTCTTCCCCACCGGAAGTGCTAGATGCCAGCGTGTTCTTATCCAGGACTATAAACTAAATGACTTGGAAACTCGCTCGCCAGCTAGACTTACTATATATAATATTGATCGTAGACTGACCAGTTCCACAACTGGCTGGGCTTCCTAGTGAGCTCCATCAGCGACAAAAAAGTGTTCTTGGACACACGTTCGATTGCCTGTGTCGGTGATGTCGCCACTTCCTAGCTGACCGCCCCCACCCTGAGAATGCAGCTGCTGCGGACCGATAGATTAATCCATCCAAGTTGATCCCCTACCAGTCGCTCATCCTGCTTCTCTCCAAGTAGCTTGCTGCTGTCGAACGACCGTCGACGCCTGGTTAATTCAGCTTAGGGCATGCTCACACTACGACTTTCTGAACTGGATCTGCCTGCATTTGCCGCCAGCTGCTCCAGAAAAGCTTTAGTACGAGTATTCCCTTAGCACTTCTTCCAGCGCAGACGGAAAAGCTGTCTGAGGCTCAGATCCTGAGAATCGACGGTGATCAAGCCCGCGCTTTTGCTCGGCGAGGGTGGAGGCATCACTCTTGCCTCGGAATTGAGATTGAGCATCAACGGCTGACGGTCACACGGTTGATAGACAAAGGTTACAAACTGGTCAGTGAACTCAAAGTTGCCTTCCACGGGAGGAGGCAGGTTGCGCGAGACTCTGACTGTACCTTGGATACCTGAGAAGTAGTACGCGGCTGCCAGTGTACCCTTGACTCCTTGCTCGAACTGGGCGTACCCTCGGAATGTCACAGTSCCCAGAGTAAACGTGAACCCAGTAGGATACATCAGAGTGACGCCCACTTGGCAGTTTTTCCGCCGATTGGATGTACTTCCTGGGGTGGACACCGTGTACTTGCTGAAAATGAGAGTGAGCGTCTGTCCGTCGGAGGAGACAACGCCCTCGGCACTTCCACGCGGACAGCCACTGCCAGAATATGTGAACTTGGTGATCTTTACCGTACCAGATGGCGGACTTTGAGCGAGTCCAGGAACAGCAAGCTGGAGAAGCCCGAGCAACAGCAGGACCACCATCACCGCCATCGTTCACACGTCGGACTGGAGAACCCTGTGCCTTGCCTTATCCTCTTCTTCTTYACTTCTCGCCTCACCTTGCTCTCGTCTCCGCGCGCCCAGCAACAGATGAGCAGTTCCGGCAATGGCAACAGATAATAACACAGCGGCTGCCCCACTTCGCCGCTCTCGGAGCTGTGCGCCTGGAGTCGCCCCCTCCCTCTCCTCGGCTGAAATGCCGTGGAAGAAGAGGTAGCAGACGCCACTTCTGGCAGCTCCCGCCCGCGATCCCCAAAGACCAGCGCACTGTATGCAGAGTGCCCCTTAGTGCACCTTTATACACAGCCGGAGATGAACTCTGCCTGTGTCCGTCCGCCGAGCACAACGCTTCGAGATCACAAAAAAGCACGCAACTGCTGTGAAGTCCGGTGACTGTCCACAGACTCCTTGTGAGGGTGTGCTCCCCTCGCGGAGGAAAGCAGCCTACAGGCGTACCATGTGGCAGTGTGGAGAAGACATGCCCATCAAATAATTTTACCGGAAGAAAAACCAGAAAGCCGGCCCCAATTCCACGTGCAGGGTGTGGAGCAAGGTTGGGCCTTGGGCCTCGCTCCACTACAGTAACTCTCTACATGTGCAAAACGAGAGTGAATCGTTAGCAAGAAGATTGAAATATACACAGCCCTCACCTATCTATGGCTGTGTTGTTGGCTGCGTCCTGTATCCGCCCTCAATCACAGCATAAGGGTCCTTTTTTTTCTTCTTTGTTTTCCCGTGTGATTGTCCCCTACACGCCCTCACTGAGGGCACAGTCACACTACCAACTCATTGAATGTACCTGGCAGTTATCGTGGCGTTTGGGATGTTTGTTTTTCACAGGTAGACAACAAAAGTGCAGCGAAGCTCTCGTGGGCTGGTCACCGGTCCGCAGCCGTCCTGGCTGCGCCCACACGCCCGAACGTGGTATCAGTAACTCTCTACATGTGCAAAACGAGAGTGAGTGGTTCGCCAGAAGATGGAAATATACACAGCCCTCACCTATCTCATCTTCTCGTCAGTTCTTATCCATCTCATTCTGTAGGTACGGTAGTGCCCTGCGGGCACAGAAGTCGCATTCAGGAGGGCGTGGGCTCAATCCCCATTGGCCTCACGTACTCACGTACGTGTCGATAAGTAAGCTTGGTGTTCTACCAGATAGAGATAATTCGTTGGGCCCCCAAGCCAGCATATTGGCTGGACCTTGGCTGATGTTGATGATTTCTATGCCACTACAATATTGGCCATTAGACACGGCCATGTGGGGAGTTGTAAGGGGGGGGTAGGGGGAGGTGCAATGACTGGCCATTGCTCAGCCCTAGCACTGCCAATTTCCCCCATCGGCAGTGCCTGTCCATCCTTCATCACTATAACGAGGGACTGGTACAGCCTTGCTCTTGCACCACTGCTGTGGTGCCAACCTACCCCCTAGGCTAGGGAGAGATCCGGGATTGGTGTTGTGCATGTCGAGAGTAGTGGAGGGAGGCCTGATGACCCACATAAATCGAGAAATGGCTCAAAACTCACGGCGCTCCTCCAAGTTGTAGCGGAAGATTCACGTCACTTTCGTCTTGCACATTTCGAGAGTAGTGGAGCGAGGCCCATTGGAATGCCTTTTTGCTCCTCGCCCCAGTTGGAGACCATCTTATCGTCTTCCCGTCTACGTGCAGATCATGCACTGCCTGTTGTCTAGCAGCAGGGAACATACTCCTTCTAAAAGAGACAAGTTGTTTTTCTTTCGTTCTTTTTGTTTTATTTTTTGAAAGAAGCCTTGAGAGAGGCCCCTACAGGTGCTGAGCGGCCAAGTCCCACTACAGGGGGGTTACTTTAGAATCGGAGTACAGTGTAACATGAGTGACACCTTTGGATCTCACAGACACAGGGGGCTTAGGAAATTTTAAGAAAATGTTAAACAAAACTCAGAAAAAAAAAAAAAGAGGATAGCTTAACAGTCCCTGTGCGGGCGATGTTCCGAGTTCAATGGATTTGGACTGAAATCGTACTGGTGGTTCAAAACAGGGTATGGTAAGGTCTCCTGCTGCCGGATGCTCTCAGCCATTAACCTTGAGGTGAGGCAGGTTGGCACCTGCGCTGTTACATCTTCGACGCACACGGGTCCTACCGGACCCGACTTAGGGCCGGAGGGACACATCAGGGCCTAAAGGCCCGACCTTGGGTTATTACAGGCCCTCAGGGCCTGATCTTGGACCAGCACCCGACGGGCAGGCCCAAACGGCATTATCGTTGGGCCTGGTGGCGCTCTTGAGGCTGCCGCCCGCCGGTTGGGGCTGAACCGTCCATCTGGACGGTTCAGGGCGTGGCCAGGCCTCGCAGCATTGAGGCCGGCCTCTGCCCCACCGGTATAAAGTACCGGTACAGCCTCACTTGGAGGCATCGACCTACCGGCACTATACCGGTACGGTATGGTCAGCGCCAGAGCGCTGTTTTGATGCGCTAAGTTTAGCGCAGGAGCGAGCAAGGAGCAGCAGCGGCAGCGCAGCATTAGCGCAGCAGCAAGCGGAGCAGCAGCAGGGCGACTGAGCCAGCACGGCGGCCATTGCCGCCTGAGGTACCTGGGAGCCGGAGGACCTCTCCTCCCTCCCTCGTCAGCTCTCTCTCTCTCTCCTCCTCCTCCTCCTCCTCCTCCTTCTTCTTCTTCTTCTTCTTCTTCTTCTTCTTCTTCTTCTTCTTCTTCTTCTTCTTCTTCTTCTTCTTCTTCTTCTTCTTCTTATTCATCTTCTTCTTCTTCTTCTTCTTCTTCTTCAGACTAGAGACTTATGCTAGTTGGACAGAGATCAGAGTTGGACTTCGGTGATAGGAGACTGTGGTACATACCCTGTCTCTTATACACATCTAGATGTGTATAAGAGACAGCATCTATACTCATCCTACATTGGTTGATTCTTGGTTCTGCCCATACTCATTGGAGTATGCAACAGTTTTGGTATCGGAGCAGACCATAAAACGGATCTGCTCACAGAGGTAAGTCTGGTTAGGAATTAGATTGTTCTTCAATCTTCCCAATCAGCGCTGAATTACTATCGAGTTCAAAGTTGCAAATTTTTTTTCTTTTTCGGTATTCTATTTAGTTCAGCATTTCCGATCAAATCGGTATTCGGACTTATAATTCGGATTTCTGCTTTTTTCCGGTATGCTGCTATTTGAGTTCTGATTGAGTAATACTAATCCGTTAATTGATTAAAGTTTCGGATTTCTGAGGTTACACGAATTAGGGTTGAATCAGTATCATGTTGAAATTCGGCGTTTCTGATGTCCATTCAGCATTCCGTTTTTCGGCATTTTTGCTGTAAATCCTATATTTCATTGTCTTTTGGTTTTCCGCGGTCTTTCAGTATTGGAAATTAGGGTTACGAGAATCTTTGGGTTTTAGATCAACTTGGAGAAATTCGAACGTTTTGGGACCGTAAATCCGGAGATTTCGCCGAAACGCGGAAAATTAGGGTTGGGACCGAAATTTTCGCGATTTTTTTTTTTCGTTCTCCTTGTTTGAGAAATTCCGAAAATAGGTTTAGGCCTTTAAAAATCGGATTTTGACGGTGGAAATTCCCAAAAATTCGCGTTTTTGAAAATTCGAGCGTTTTTTCTTCTGAAATTTTCCGAATTTTGTTTAGCACACTAAGCCGTATCTGACCCTCAAACTGCAACTTCCGGGTAGTTCACTCGGTAACGGTGAACTCCCGGACTCAAAGTGATCTCAAAGAGACCTAATCATAATACCTTTCAAATTCGTTTATTAATTGGTTATCTTTATTACAAACATTGTTTTACTGATTATCATTAATTGGTTATCTTTATTACAAACATTGTTTTACTGATTATCATTCGGATTTCGTTAATTATCATTTATTAATTTTATTGATTAAATCGTTATTAATTCCTTATTACGAATTTTTTTGAAGGGTTTACGGGAAATTTATTTTTTCCTGTTTGATTAGGTGTCTACAGTCCATCAGTGGGACMGGGGATTGTATGTATAYTGCTTGATTGTTCTACCCCTGTTCCCACTCTACCTACCCCCCCTGTAGTCTGTGAACACCGGCACCTCTCAAGTACCGCATCAGTTCAGACTGATGTCGATGGAACAGGACACCGGGGCACTGCCACGGCGCAGTGCCAGGATCGCAGTYCGTGCCCGCCCTGCGGTACCTCCAAGACCAAAGAGATTCAGCAGACGGACGACTCCAGCGGCATCAAGTACGGCATTGACAGTACAAGACACCACCGAAGATCTTCCCGCATGCCCGGTCCGAGAGGCCAGCGAGCCTTTGGCTGACTATCGTGGGCGGCTACAGGCATTTACAGACGCCGTAGCCGCCGCCGAGGCTCAGCAGGCTGCGGCAGAGGCAGAACGTCAGCGGCTGGCCAATGAGGCGGCAGCCGAAGCGCAGCGGACAGCTGAGACTGACGAAGCGGCACGAAACAGACGGAATGCCGCCAGCACGGAGTCCCTGATTGCTAGTGAGCATCAGTGGACAACGGTACTCCAAGGCATGATCTYTGTGCCTACRGAAACGCAGGCGGAACCGRCACAGGCGGAGGCAGAGAAAAGTAACCTGGCTACCGTGATGTTGAACGTAATGAGGGGAGTAATGTGGAACAACAAACTACTGCAGGCACACCTGCACACGGAACGA